ACACACACACACACACACACACACACACACACACACACACACAGTAAAAACAAAAGGAAAAAAATGAAAATTACAAGACATGAACCTGAGCTTATCAAGGTGCGTACAACACATGTGACAGATGGTCACTGGGCTCAACATGCCTAAACAGCTCAATAATAACATGTTGGCAAGTCAAGAAAGATACTACATTTGTTCAGCTCATCACACACACACACAGTTCAAGGTGTGTGCATGAGGGGGAGCGAGAGAGAGAGATAAGTCTTTCTGTCTGTCTCTCTCTATCTCAGAATCTCTCCCTCCCTCTCCTGTCTTTCTCATCTCCGTCTGCATGGAACAGCAAGTTGACATGTTTTCTTTTTTCTCTGTTGTCCACATCACGCAGAGCTGAACAACAATATGAACTCCCATACCAGTCCTGTGGAGAGTTGACATAGCACTTGTGGATGTTGGTTTTGCCAGCGTAAATGTTATTTCAACAATGAAGGTGCAAGTAAATGAAAAGGCAAGCAGAGACGTGGGGATGTTTCCGGACATTAAACATCTCACTGTGGCGCAGTGATCTGGAATTTTTTTAAATCCTGCAGGAATCGGTATTTTTGGTAATAAAATGTCTTGTTGAATTTAAATGTCAAACTCTTTGACATTTGAATCACGTGGCAGAAAATTTTAAAAAAGCAGCACTTCTATCTCCAGTGGAGACACAGGTTAAATTATAAGGTGGGGCTGAGAAAGACAACATCCATGTTCTCTAACTAAATGCTGTACGTTAACTGTTAACTGTAGTTTTGGGGATAATCAAGAGAAATCAAGAATCATCATCACCTCAAAATCTATAATACATGCATCCATTCTCTTCCTCTTATTCTCTCAACAGAGACAGACAACCATCCACACTCACATTCACACCTATGGACAATTTAGAATGACCTATTAATCTAACCCCACTAACTGCATGTCTTTGGACTGTGGGAGGAAGCGGAGAGAACCCAAGCAAACATCCAACATCCAGGCAGATATTAACAAAAACATTACTGCAGCAAGAAATTTTGGGTTTAACGTGTTACTATAATCAAAGTACATACTTAGAAAGGATAAGAGTGTGACGGTTAAGTGCTAACAGCATCAAGTACAGAAACAACAACATTATATTGCTAACACAAAGATAGCAAAGAACCCAGAAAGACGATAAAGCTGAGTTCATGCTAATCGCAGTCCAGCACCCAGACGCTGAACTTCAACACAGGCATTGACATACAGCCAGACTTCCATTCTCCATTTCTACCTGTGCATGTTTCTAAAGTAGAATCACAATGGCTTTAAAGTCTATTAGGGATGTTTTCATGTTGTGTTGTCAGCTTTCTTCTTATGTAAACCCTAAAAGAAAGCTCTATGTGCGTCTACATTAGCAGAGAGATTTGTGTTGGTGTGTGGAACTGTAACCCAACCTTTATGTTATTAGCTGGTAATTACATGACGATGCATTTTAGGTCAATTCACGGAGTAACGAGAATGTAATGTAACTAGTAGTGTAACAAATTACTTTCTCTTTAAGTAACATACTGCAAGAACAGTAAGAAGTAGCATGTAATACATTACTTTTTTGGAATAATGACCCCAACACTGGCAAAGGCTGTGTTAATGATGTTAGTTTAGTTAGGTTTTTTTTCACAAGCATGGATGGCTCAGAGGCACTGAACCTCATGTTGTTGTTCTAATATGAATAGGAAGGTTAGCAACACTGCACTGACTTCATTATGAATGGAGGATGGTCAAGAAAGAGGTAGGGGATAGTTCTTAGTTTTATCCTCCCATAACAGCAATTACTGTGTAACAAGAAGTGCAAACAACTCCTCACCATCACCTTAAGTATATATGTCAGACCTTACAGAGACTTTCCTTTACACTGAAAAAAAAATACACAGTGTACATCCTAAAGCATTAGCTACATGTAGATCTACGCTCAGAATTTCATCCATTTAATATTGAGAAAATATTTCACATAACAACTTATATCTACACTCTTTCATTTAAACGTGACTAGAATAGCCTTTTCTTGCGCAAGCTTTCTTGTATTTTCTCTATTATGCCTTCACTGTGCACAGATGCATTCTGGGTAAACATTAGCTAGAGGTAACGCAATAATTCATGTCTTATTGGCTCATGAATCTTGTCCCCTAGCCAAAGGCTGTGTACCATTCAGCATGAAGTTGTGTAATGGCTGAACAGCCTCCACATCGCTGTCCATTCAGGCCGGTGATGAAGTTTTATAAGGCTGCTTTAGTAGTCAGTCGTGGGAAACTGCCTTAATGTTGGAATGTTGTTGGAATGCAAACATTGTGTGACTACTTAAAAAGGTCAGTTCATTCAAATTACAATGTATTTCTCACTTACAGCTCACGGGGACAATAAAACACCTTTTATATTATTACTATCAATCATGTCACTTTCTCTAGAGAAACAAAGATGTTGTGCCCTCTGTATAGGTCTGTATAGATCTTCCAACTTAAATTAACTCAACATCTGATATATGATCGTGCAAATCTCATTATCTGCTCAAACAACTGTTTTTAATTTTTTTTTTAAATGGCCTCTGTAGTTCAAAATGTTTATCCAAATCATCAGTGGTGTCCTTTTGTGGTTCTTCTTGTATTTGATTTGTTTGTTTGTTTTTTCACCCAACTTAGGACAAGAACTACCAAAACTAAAAATATATACGTAAAAATGATAAAAGTATTATATGTCCTTTAAGCTGGCTCATACTGGAATGGATTCACTTGTCACACATTACTTTGAAGCCGATTGCCATTTGGTTGCCTAGGTAACCGATTCGGATCTCTAATCAGCGGTATCCCGCGCTCTCATTGGTAGCAATTTCAGTCATTTTTGGCATTTTTATACCATGTCTGAATACCATAGTTAAAATGATTAACAATCAACACTAAAACACTTCTAAAGCGTTGGCAGGTTAACTACCCACAGAAAACCTTTTCTTGAGCGCTAGAAAATGATGTTTACTTTCCAGTAAACATCATTTTCCTCAAGAGGTTTTCCTCTAAGCTTGTTGTTTTATATAATTTACAACAGCTTCACGAGTCATTTAAAAACTCGGATGCTAAAAAACATGTGGGTTGTGCTGCTGTGTGCGCACATGTACTTGTATTACCTCTACGCCATCATATTCCTGCTCCAGTGCTGTGCAGTACTGTGGCAGTCCCAGCTGACTCAACCATCGGGAAATAGACTGATGCTTCATGGTGACAGATCAACCACACAGATGCAGGCAGAGTTGACTCTTTCAGAGACTGAAACACAATTTTTTTTAAAAAGATCGAGAGAGAGGGAGAGAGAGAGAGAACATGTGTTTAATGAGCAGTTAAACATATAATACAATAATACAATTAAGTTGCAAATTTTAACACTACAAGTTGCCTATTTCAGTGTCGGATTTGGTGCTGTATGCAGTTTCTCACACATACACTAAGATTAATCAGTGTTTCTCTGCTTAGTGACCTTGTGTAATGGCTCTGGAATTTGCCAGTTAATTATGAGCTGGACTGAATGGTGCAAAAGACTCGCAAACTATGATAAATATTTCCCAAACTAATTTCTGTGTGTGCCTGGATGATATCCGTCTGTATCTGTATGATATTAAACTGACAACTTTTCTTCAGTCTTACTCTTTATCGGTCTAATGAGCTGTTAGCAGTATCGCTACAGGACACCCCAGAGCGATGATGTCTCAATCTTAACTGATACTGATAATGCAAATCAAACTGTCTGTGCCTGTGCTGCCAGGGCCAAGATACACCCTGAAATCATTTTTAAAAATGAACATGATACTGGGGAATAACGCTGATATAACCAAAACGCCCTTACCGATTACCACCACACATCATTTTATCTGGAAGCCCAAGCTAACATTCACACATGAGCACAAGTCAAACATATAGTCAAACATAATAAAATGCATTCAGAAAGTATTCGCTTCCCTTGGATTTCACATTTTCTTATTTTGGAGCATTTTTGGTAACCTGTGTTCAGAATCACTCAATTCAGAATAACTCAAGAGCTCAATAGGAAACATTTGACTGATGAACAAATCTGTAATCGCTCTCTTTGCTGCACATCATTACGCTTTTTCTTTTTGAAAGCTAGTATCATTGTGTATCATCTGTGTGATCATATTATTTATATATTGTGTCATGTAGGTGGCAGAGTACATATGGGGTGGTATTGTGTTTCATGCGTGTCTGTGTGTGTGAGTGGTGGCATGTCACATATAAAGACAGAACATCTAACAGCTTGTCAAGCAACGACGGAGTGACTGAGCACACGCAGCGACCCCCACCCACCCCAACCAATCACATTAAGTGACGTTATGAGGATTTACATTTTATCAGTGACGTCCCCAAAGGTTGTCAGAACCTACCAACATCAACCAATGCTGGGATCCATCATCCATATTAATCTAACCTGTGTGTGCCATTATATAGATTAGAGAATAAGAGTCAGTCGCGCAGTATCGGGACTCCATTCAGTGTCTAACACCATTTCCAGTTCAGCCCAATAGAGGTCATTTGAGAGAGTAATCTCTGTATATTACTCACCAGCATATATACAGTACATAATCTACACAGTGTATATTATAGGCATCAGAAAAAATATTCACTCCTCCTTAATCTGGATACTGAAGGAAGTTAACTACTGAAGGGATAGAAAAAAATAAACACTACATTTAACGCTCAGAAACATTTGCCTCACCTTCATTCAGCTATCTGGAGACAGGAGGGTTGCATTTCTAATCTGCTGACAACCAGTAATTAACTGTAAGTAACAATGTCAAGAACATTTATGTTTATTTGAATGTGACTTATCTGTTTGACTTAAGTTTGACTTATCTGACTGTTTTAATTCGCTTAATGCGCCTTATGGTCCAAAAATACGGTAATAAACTCCAAAAACAACTGATTGTACGTTTAAGGCTTTTTGGATACATCAGCAAACGTTAACACTGAGTATATTTTTTCATTTGTGCAAACATCATATAAAAAAAATGCTGTCAATAAAACTAGCCAATACTTATTTGATCCGGATATAAAATTCTCTATATGGCCATTAACTTACAGTGAAAGCATTTCTGTGCAAGCTCACCTATTCTCTCTCTGTGTGTGAGTGCACATACATACACAAATGCACAGTCATTCACTTTACTGTCCAATTTCATTATGGTATTATACTGCCGCTGCAAACACACACACACTAATATAACTAATCTCCGTACATTATTTGTGAGTTGATCCATCAAGCTGTATTGTTTTCCTAAACATTACTCCAAGTCAATTTTATGAGTACAACTGTGCCACACAATGCAACAAGACACTAATGATGATTAAAGTCAGTAAAGGACTTGTATCACAAAGCAGCCCTATAGCATCTACAGACACAGCAAACAAATTATCTAAATGGCAGAGCTTCCTCGTTGTCAGTGTCCATAGTCCACAGTTGTGGTGGTGAGGGGGGTGTGCTCCACTCTGACACTGGTGAATACGGTGCGTCTTCACTCCAATCTTCAAATGTAGAGTTTGTGGCTGGATCTTCAGAGACTAAAGATTGCTCAGTATCCCTGGTACCAAGTACCAAATATGTACCAAGTTCTGTCACTCTGATGGTTGATTGAGCAGAAGGGCTGGAAGATGCCATTTTCATGGAGAATTTCAAGCCCAACAGATGGGAATTACCGTTCTTTTCCAAAGTTGCAGCTGCTAGAGACACAGTGGCCAACTCTACGGTTTTTGAAAATTGCTGCCACACCTACCCGCACCCTTTAAGATCAACCCACTTCCAGATCACGCCCCCTTTCTGTTATTTTAAAAAGAAGACCGCCGTCTAATTCCTTCAAACCTTTTTTTTTTTTTTAGCTCAACAACAGAGAGAAGTATGGCCTCTATAGCCCTGCGCCACCCTGCGGAGGAGGAGGAAAGTTCTGCGGACGAGGGCACAATATTACCTGACACGCGCGGTTACTATCGCCCCTTGGAAAAGCCGCAGCAAGCGGACGAGCTTGACGGTTGGGCATCTTCTTTGTTCATCGATACCGTGAAAACCGCGGTGTATCATCTTGTCAACCTAGTAATCAACAAGTACCTCACTGACGAACGCAACGGTTGTATGTCCGATCAACCCCGCCAGAAACAGCACGAGTGTACGCGAGTGTTGGAGGATGACTTTTACGCTGAGAATTATTACAGCATCAGAAAAAGACTCCTCACCCCACGTTTCATTCCATCCATTCAACGGCTGCTGATTGCTCGCAACATCAAAATGGACGACGTCAAAGTCTGCATGGTGGCGGAAACTCTCTTGCACGAACTGAAATCGGAAAGGAAAGTCTTTGACGCCATCGCCGAGGCATACACCAAACTGGTAGGGTTGGACATGGTGAAAATCAGACAGCTACGGTTGGTCGCAGAGTGTTACAAAGG